TGATTTTTTAGATTTTTCGACTTTGAATGCATATATTATTTTTATAAAGCACACAGAGCAAAACAAGCAGATTTTCTTATGTAATTTGGGTATGCGCTATCGATTGAGCCTATTGCCAACTCAATCGGCCCAGCCGTTATTGAGATCCGATAATCTCGGCTTGTCTCAACTTTCGGGCTCGCGTAAAGATACACGGTCGGTCTTGCGCTGCGCGTGAACTTGGCGCGAGACACTACCGTGTCTCTTGATCCCTTCCCTGCCAGGTCCCATAGCCATAAATACGACACACCATTTTACTATCATTAGATGTATAGGTAGCCCAGCAGACTAGGACCAGGACTAGAAATCCAGCGATCCAGGTTCGAACCCAGCTTGGATTTTCTCAATTCCGAAAAATAAAAATCACTTGTCAACAGCCGCCATCTTGTAGACGTCCGCCATGTTGGACCCACTGCCGCCATCTTTTCCCCCTCCCCTCCCTGTGACGTCATTTGTTTTGACGCCAGACCAAATGTAGGTCAGTGGGTCAAATATGAGGTAGGTGGTGGGGGTTTGTTGTGACGCCCCATACCTGCCATATACTACTTATGTCGAACGCGCTTCTCGTTTTTGGCGCAACAGCGCAACGCGGATAAAATCTCTGACGTCTTTGCGCGTAGCGGTCAAAAAAATTGAGATATATCACAATATGCGACGACATGACGCGTTCTATCGAGCGGTCGTTGACATTCACGGGCGTAACAGATTAATCTTCGAGAACGAAAAGGTACCGAAGATGTTACTGATGCTTGACAATTACATAGCTCGTTACAGCGCAATCGACGAAGATTTCTTCGATTTCATCGTTACCCGAAACGTGGATGGCGATCGTCCGCAACGATCAGAAGAAACGCGAACGCATCGTCTCGTCGCGCATCTCGTCAATTACTCGCCGACGCTGACCATCGTTCAGATGTTCAAATTCGTTTTTGACGATTCGCTCACGATCGACAAAACTATTCAATTTATCGCGTTGCTTTGTCGAAACGACGATGTTTTTGAATTAAGAACCAAATACATTCTAAATCGATACAGGTAT